TCCCTGCGTGCCACCAGAGTGGCCTCAGGAGCTTGTTGCGACCTGTGTGAGTTTGTCCAACACCAAGGCTGTGCCCGCATGGCACCTCTGGGCACTGGGCAGAGACGCCCCTGGCTACCCCGACGTGACTCTCCATGCAGGCCCGTAGCCGTCTTCACAGCTAGTGTCTCCTCACCACACCATCTGACATGGGCTTACCTCAGATCCAAAAGTTAAGCTGAAAGCCCTGCAGGATTTTTAGACCTCCTTCTTTCTCCTCTTCTCCTCCTACTGGGTGTGATGGACCTTGAATCAGACCCCAGGGGTCCTGGAAGGAGCAGGGAATATTACTCAAAGCACATCCCACTCTTCTAAAGAGGTTCTTGTTGTCTTCTCAGAGCGACCTGCCAGCAATAAAGGAGAAGTTCCAGCAAATGTACAAGAAGTCGTTAGCTGAAGCTGTTCGATCTGATACCTCTGGGGACTTCAGAAAGTTGCTGCTGGCTCTTTTGCAGTAAAAAGCCATGAAGAATGAAGAGGCATGCTGAGCAGCCACCTCTTGATTAGTTTCCAAAATAGCATCCAAAAAATGTGGCATTAGCACAAAGAAAAAATCTAATTTATTTTCTTTCCAGCTGGGAAATGTGTTGCCAAGTAATGCTGGACGTGAGGTTTATGTTATGGCTATCTCGCCAAATGTCCTTAAGCAATAAAGACATGTTAAAAAAACTAAGTCTAAAATGACCTCTTTGTGTTTGCATATGTGGAGGAATCTTCTGTCATTGTTTCTTCTGGGCAAATTTTCTGTCTTTCTCTCATTCTCCAGATTATTCCTGTCCTTTCCCCAATTTGACAGCTGCCATGTCATGCCATTACAGTCCTGCCAAGAGAAAATGGATAGTAATTTCTTCTCAGCTCATTATCACATCTCTTTAAACAACCTGAGGGCTGTGAATTAATGATTTAAGTCAGGCCGTGATTAAATCCTGCTATCAACGGGGAAGGTCAGAGTGATTTCCCTGTCTGTGAGTTGCCCTCTCAGCACAGTCACCTCCTAAATTATCCCATGAAGGAGATAAGGAGTTGCAGTCCCCATCGGCACCACTTCCTGGGATATGGTGCAGGAGCACAGCTGAGAAAGAGATGGGGCTTCATGGGGTGGATGTGTCAGGCAGGGAAATGCTGTTCCCACAGAGGCAGACATGGGCCTCAGGACAGCTGCATGGTCTCCATCATTGGAGATTTCCAAGATCTGACTGGATAAAACTCTGAGCAACCTCACCTGATCTCATGGCTCACCTTGCTTTGAGCAGGAGCTTGACCAGAGACCACTGGAGGTGCTTTCCTCCCTGAATTGCCCTAAAATTCCTGAGAGAAGGGAGAATGAGAGAAGGTGTAGATGAAAAATAACATGGCAGGACCTGACAAAAAAGACAAGAGAGAGCAGAGTCTGGGTCAAGCAGATGGGCTTGTGACCATTTCTCTGTGTCTGGCCCCTTCCCCCTTTTGAGTGTACCACTCTGGAAGGGAAAAGGTCTTTCAGACCTAGATCCTCTGAGGTGTGATGGCTGATGGTGTTTAATTCCCACTGAAAATAGTAGTTTTGAAGCCCTGGACCTGTTCCTCACTGCTTGTATCAATGTCACAGCAGTAGTATCTGGCCATCTAGTTATAGCTTGTAAAGATGGGGCAAAATAAATGGGAGATGGGAAAGATGGAGGGCTTTTAAGAAGGTGATCTGTGTGTCACACAGGTGTAATGGGATGTCTCAGCATTTTAGAGGCCTGATGACCCTTTAGCAACATTTCTAGCAACATAAAAATATCAGGGGCAGATCCTGAACCTGAAATGAACCATCTGATTCTGGATTTGCTTTTATCAAAGGCATTTTAACATTCAGACCCAGAAAGAGCAGAGCCGTGCAGGATCTGCGTATCATCTTCTTGTGGCTGTTGCCATGGGGCTCTTGTAACCAGAGACTATAGAAAGGATAGATGAATAACCTACTTAGGTGTTCAGTGTTCCTGGTGATATTTTATCTTCCCGAGGTTATCCTGTATGTTCAGTCCAAGATAAGCTGGCAGGTACCCATTCTCAAATGATGTAGCTTGAAGAAAAAGCCAGCGGGTGTCTGAAATGTGCATGGAGGAGCTGGTTTAGGCAAAGGATTTGTTTTAAAATGTTCCAGAAAGAGTGCCCAGAGCTATATGAGTGGTTTCCGTGAATCCTCTAGAAGCTCAGCACACTTTAAGCCCAGCTATGTACTTCTTTAACGTGAAGCGCATAACTTTGGCAGCCAAATTTATTTTTGCCTGGAAACTGTTTTAATTAATGCTAGTAGGTCATTCTGACTAAAGAAGGAAGAGCACAATTGCTTTCATCTTAATCTTTCACTCTTTAATTAGGGAGTGGCCTGAAACCAAGCCAGGAGCCCACACATGTTCACACCCACTCATACTGGGGCCAAGTCATTATTGAATTACATGCTGTATCTATCTATCTGTACAGAATATATACAGTGATGGCAGTGACACTTGTGAAGTTGCTCAGTGTCTCCAATACTGTAACAGTAAAACTTGTCCCTTTGTCTCGATAACGAAAGTTTCTCAGTGTTCAAAACTGGAGTTCAGATTTCAAGACTGGTGTCTATAGATGTAGTCTGTTCCATAGCCTACAAAAAGAGAAGCAAACCCAGATTCAGTTGAGTCTTAAACTAAGCCTTAGTTCAGAATTAAGTATCATACCAATGTGAATGACAGCTGTGGTGGTAGGGCACGCAGTGAAATCATGTTTGCTGAAAAATGAGTAATGCAATAGTTACAGAGGAATGAGAGAAAAGGATTGTAAGGGTATCTGGGCTTAAAGAATAGGAAGAAGACCAGACAGTTGGCAACTAGTAACAGCAGAAGGAAGTTAGCATGCTTCTCCGTGGGCAAGAGGCTGCAGTCACAATTGCAACAAATGAAATTCCTATCAGACATACAGAAAAAAAAAAAAAACCAAACCTTCAGGGGGAGAGTGGTTCAGGACTGGAGCAGGTTTCCCAGAGAGGCTGTGAAATCTCCATCTTTCAAGATTTCAAAATTCAACTCGGCAAGTCCCTGAGCAACCTGATTTAACTCTGAGGTTAACCCTACTGTGAGCAGGACATTGCTCTAGGTGAGCTCCCAGGGGCTCCCCAACCCAATCTTCCCATGATTCAAGGAGAATTAGGTAGTTTGTGAGCAGGAGACCACACCTGGAAGTGCCATGTGGAATAGTCATTGTATTTCTGTTGCCTGAAGTAACATGAAGGATTTCATCTTATTGTCATGTACGACTGTCAATCAATTCCCCATATCCACACTGGATTCTGTTTACTTTTCAATATCTTCTCCACTACTTCCTAGCTTGGGGAGCTTCATTGCCTTCAGTGAATCTGAGATGTCATCCAGGGAGCTAAAGGGCTGTTTTCCCAATAAATAGTGAATCCACACAGGGATCTGGCTGAGCCTGGACAAGACTTGGGGAGGATGCTTCAGTGGGGAGTATCAGGATGCATCCAAAACCAGGTGCTGGGTGTGGGGAAACGTTTCCTTCACAGGTCTGCCCAGGCATCACATGTGGTGTTAGGTTTGCTGGTGGTGGTATCAGCTGGGTGAGATACAGACATATGTGGTGAGTAGACAGGTCCCTATCCAGGCTCTCTCTTGATAGTAATTGGCTAGTATAGACATATTTTTTGCACATGTTCATTATATATGTTTATATGCACGTGTAAATATGTGATACATAAAGCTAATAATTCCTTAACACATTAGTCTTCCTTTCTGCTCCTGTATTTCTCTCCTCTCCAGCTTATAATAAGCAAAATGGTGTCAGATGCCCATCTTACCCCCATCAGGGCCCACCAACCAAGCTCCACACGGCCAGGGCACACAGCATCCCAGGCAGTGCTGGCTGCTCTCCCAGCCTGGGCTGAAGGCTGTCACCCCAGCCAGCCACCACTGCTGCTTGGAGCATCTTCCCATCCTCTCCAACTCATGGCATCTGATTAATTATGATCCCTGTAATTGTCATTTTTTTACAATGAAGAATGTTAATCCTGGGTTTTGTTCCCTCTCCAATTTTTTTAAAGACCATTATAAGGAATATTTTTTTCTTGTCCCTGTCTACTTAAGCTGCAAATTTGGGAAAAGGGATGATCCCTCTCTTGATAACTGTGGAGGCTGGTAGTCATCGAGGCACTGCACGTAAGACTGAATAAGCTCAGTGAAGCCTCTGCCTTGAACAGTCCTTTTCCCTTCTCCATATTTGCTCATTTTCACCTGGATTGTAATAGGATCAGTGTATGAGTTTTAGAAGTTGCCTGACATCACCAGTCTTCTCTGTGCACCTGTCTGCTCGCCGATTAGATTACAGCTTTTTTCCGCTCTGTTGCTTAGCGCATGATAATAGACATTTCATCATCCCATTACATTAAAACATAAGAAGAGCTTCTCTGGGTCAGATCAAAGGTTCAACCATCCTAATTCCAAAACAGAGCAATCCCAAACACTTAAGGAGAGAGAGAGCAGAAGGAGCAGGGTGAGTATACACCATTGCAGCAAAGTGGTTGTTCCTTGATAGACATTTCCATTTTCTAGAGCCTGGCCATTGATGGAGTTCATACAGGAGTGGTTGCAGAGGGTTGCTGCTTCTAACAGCCCCCAAGGCTGCAGCCTTCCTCAAGGGCTCAGTGGGGGACCTGCAGCATCATGTCTCATAGTGCTGCTGGGTCACATAACCTGCAAACGAGCCCACTTTCCCATCTGCATGTGGTGTCCAGACCAGCCTGCTACCTGCGCAGCATCCCACTCCTGTGGCTATGCAGTGTCCTGTCCTCCCACAAAAAGCCAGCTCAGGCCTGCTTCGGTCCATAGCATGCCAACCTAGGAAACCTGCCTCAAGGACTCATTCAGGAACAGACTTTCTCAGACAAGTTACATTGTCCCGTAGAAGAAATAGCTCTCCCCTCTCACCAGGGGTCTTGCTGCAGCAGTAGGGGCCATATAGGACATCCTGTTATAGGATATGCCATGAAAAGTGATTTCCAGTTTTTATAAAGGAAATACTAACTAGGCAGTCCCGATGTGTGCATGTCATTGGAGATGTGTCTGAAATTATAATTTCTGGGAAAGAAGGAGGCAAGAGTTGTAAAGCAGGCAGCAGGAGCTTCATTGCTGAGGAGCCTTGGCCCCAAATTGGCAGGGACCTGTGTGGGGAGTCAGCAGGGAGCACCAACCCCCCCGAGAGCAATAAGCTATTTAAACAGCACACGCTGTACCCTGGGTTAGCAGGAGTTTGCATAACTGTGCAAAGCCCTCCAGCCTGGGATCTTCTAAATAAATGCCACATTTATCAGTATCTAAAGCAGAAGAACATCCCACCTACCCTTCCCCGACCCCATGAAACAGTGTCATTAGTGAAGCCAGATAGCATAATTTGCTTCTTTAAGAGTTAAAAAAATAATCCACAGCCACTGGCAGGAAGAGGCAGAACTAAACAGGCAGCAAAGAGTTAGAGCCAGAACAGAGATATAAAACTAAATCAATCATCGAAACAGACCGCAACGAGAGCATATACATACAGAGCAAGGAAGAAAGCAAGAGGGCGTTTTGTTTGGGTAGCTAATGTTCTCTGGATGAGGAGAGACAAATTCTCCTCTGGGTTTTTAATGCCACTCTAAATATTTATAGCAAGATCATGGCCAGCTGGT